TAGCACCCCCAGATCAATAATACCAAAAATGGAAAAATCATATGAAAAAAGTTTTCTTTGTTATATGTAAGATTGTTTTTTATTTGGCGTTTTTGGTGGAAACACAAATTATTTATGATGATTACAGTAAGTTATATAATATGGTTGTATCAAAAATTAATTATGTAACATTGACATTTTTATCTGTTTATACTAGATCATTATATGAATATATAGGTAAATACCTAATGTATTTACGAGGTATATTACATTATTACTGTTTAGATACTTAAATATTAGTGTGCTAACGTTTTTACAGTATATATTTAAGATTGGTTATAGTAATCACTCCCAACGTTTAGCCTCTAGTTGCGCCTATGATCCTAATACTATATCCTACATCGGATGTAGGTCCCTTCTCGTGTTTAATTGTGTTTGTGATTCCATTACATACGAACGTATTCGTAAACGTACCTATATTGTCTCCAACGCAGTTGAATTGGAGAATGCCTTGATACACGAAATACTATGCATCGAGGTCTAAACAAGTTAGGGGAACTGAATTTTTCATATAATTTTAAATAATAACATAATATGTACAGTTAATATTTGCATTAAAATAATAGAAACATCACCGATTATAAACATTACATAATTAATAAAATATGTAATTATTAATTCCTCCGATTTATTTTCGAGAATTTACCTCCAGCCCTCCTCCTCTGAATAGTGAACGCCTCTAAATAACGGACAAAATTACGGTTACCGCGAGAGTGACCGGTATTTAGAGGTCTCGCTGTAATGATATTGTTACGACGACGACAATATTTAAGGTACACAATACAATAATGACAATAGCAGACGCGTTTGGCGGATCCGCAAGCGAAATACGAACGGGCGAAACCGCTGCAGCAGGATCGCGCGAAAGGATTACGCCGAACCGATTGGGGCCGCGGGAAAATGGAAATTTTGTATATTTTTTTTCCCCTCCCCCCTCCGAGCAATATTGTTTACAACGGGGTTAGGGTCGTGTGTGTTCGGGGCAGACGGTAGACGTTTGATTAATGAACGGACATTAAAATTCAATTAAGCGCTTCGGAGGGATGCGGCGCTCGCGTAGGGGAGGCTCGGCCACTGTTGCGGGTTACGCGGGTGTCGTCGTAACAGCCAGTGCACGAGTGTGTTGTATAGTATAATAGCTGCAGTACGTGATATTAGCGGCGGTAGATCCACACACACACACTGAGCCCACCCAGTGACACGTACATATTGAATCGTACGATAGTGAGTCCTCCGGGAATGCGTTTATCGTGCAGTTTGCACTGTGTTTACACACAAAACCCTTTGGCTGTGGGCTCCGTTTATCATCGTCTGCCCACACGACACGTGCCGGCTCGAAATCTAATTATCACGCGCTAAACCGACCACCAACCTACTACTAAATAATAATAATGATAATATAATAATAACCCACTCGTGTCACTTTATTCACTATTGGCATACTTTGTCGCGAATCATTGTTTTTCATGACGGATTTGTATTTCATACAACAATATTATGTTTTATCACAGCCCGCAGCAGGTTTTCGAGGACACCGAAAAAACTGAACGTTGACGATAGCCAAGACGACTAGTGAAAAAAAATTGTGAATTCTTCATTGTATTACGTTACAATAACCTTACTGCAGGTGTATAAAATAGATATAAATGCAGGCCGAGTGGTGCTGTCAATTGTTATAATATTATTAATAATTGCAAATACTTTGCTCCGGAGAGAAAACTCCAAAGCTCAAAACACCGAATCTTACCGATTTAATAGCAATTTAATAGCAATCTGGAAGTCACCTACAGACGACGCGACGCCCTGCTTGTATTCTATTTATTATTATTAATTCTTAAGCTTGTTTAGTATTCGTAATTTTATTACTGTCGACGTTAACAAATGCTTTTTTTCAAGATAATATAACTCAAATAAAACATAAAAGTCTTATTATTATAAATAATTTTAATTCACTATCGATGTGTTATTGTGACTTTGTGTCGATAAAAATCTTAATTTGATTCGGTCCTATATTTTAGTCTCTATATAACACGGTTTTCATTTAGTCATATTTTATTTTGGGTGTTGTAGTTATTATTATTATTATCGATWGGTTTTTRAGAATCGAGACCGACAATAATATTCACGCGGTGTGATCCAAGCCTATAAAATGCATTTAGCTGTACATGTTATATTATACAGTTAAATTATTAAAATTACTAGGAAATAAATTCATTAAATTAATGATGTTGAGAACCGGTACTACCAAGGAAAAATTATTAAGACTTTTCTTTGAAAAATGCCGTAAACCGTAAATAACGACGAGAGATTCCTATTTCCTATAATTATTATTTATACCTATTTGATTCACAGAACCATAATTCTAAAATTTATGATTCTATGCGCTATTATCGGGTAGTATGGTTTAATAAAATACATTTCTCCTTGGTATTTCTATAAATAAAAACTYGAATTTACATTAATTATTAAAACGATACTATATAACCATGAACGACAGACGGGCATTAGTTATCCCTGTCTTACAAACGTACAAAACATGGCAAATTTTACGTTCATAATAATAAATTCTACTCTGTAATTTCTAAAATTAGAGTGGCATTACTTCTTATTAAATTTAAAGGCAAGAATATTAAGCTTTATTTAGATAATAAATTATTTAGGGCAACTCGATGGTTGAATTAAACAGGTTATTGCATATAGACTCGTATTGTAATGATCAGAAATAAATTGACAGCGAAAATGATATAAATATTTTTACTATTATTATTATTATTATTGGCTCCTTTTACGCTGCAACTTTTGTTTTGGTTATCAGGAATAATTATTTAATTGAGAAGATGGGGTAACTTTGTATATTTCAAACACGAACACCTCGGAATATTTTATTGATATTATTGTTTTGAATAATTTAACTGTTTTTTTTGTACATTTTAAAATGATCAAACTTACTTAAAAATAATATCAAAAAAAATGTTCTCAGATGACCTAGATATTATCCTTACCTTAAAGTTTTATAACAGACAAATTCTCTTTAATTCTAGAAAATTGCAGAGTAAAATGTAATATTGTGAACATACAATTTTTCATCATGTACGTTTGTACGACGAAGACGACAAAATAAATGTCCTTGTGGCTAAGGGTCAAGTTATTGCCAACCGGCAATCATATATGATATAAGTCCATATCATAATAATATTATTACTTTATTTGATCGTTGCTGGTGCATCGAATCGATGAGAACTTAATTGAATTATACGAAACTAAATAATTACCGTTCGATACCATCCAAACGGGGATGTCGGTACTTGCGAGATAGAAGCAACCCTCCTCCCCAGGCAGCATCGATGTGTAGCCACATCTTATATTTTTCGCAAATGTCCGCAATTTCGTTGATTGGATCAAATGCACCGAGAACGGTCGTACCTGCAGTGGCAGTGACGAAAAATGGTATGTGGCCTTTGGATTTTCTTTCCAATATGAGGCGCTCCAGCTCAGAAGGTATCATGCGGCCCCTATGACATAAACAGTAAAGTGAAGTATAAGTAATATAATAATATAACATAATATAATACAAACATAAGTACGTCAAAATAAAACTAATTAAAAATTAAAAATAGAACACAACTTTTAATCCTAAATTAACGGCTTGTGTTATTAAAAAAATGTMATGAATATTTTTTTTACAATTAATTGTTATTCTTTTTTCTGGATTTCCAACGAAGGCGGCGGCGGCACGATCAGTTTCGTTAAAAATCAGAAAAAAACAATAACACGATTTTACAAAAAAAATTAAAAAATTGAGTTATTAAATAGATTAAATTATTTTAAAAAAAAACAGTCTCACTAATACTTAGAATTTAAGCCTCTTTTATTATAAGCCATAGCTTGTGGTTTAATGTGAATATTTTATTTTTTAGTTATCACTTTAAGACTTAGAGTATTATAGTAATATAGTTACTACTGTATAATGCTGCATACTTGTATACTATTGACACTTGTTAGATTTTTGGTTATTAATTATTTATTTATTAAAAATATTTCTGTTTGTTTAAGTACATGAAAAGTTAACCTGCTTTATACTGCTTTTGCACTACCAACTGATTTTTTACATATTGAAATAATCATAGATAATATTATATTATAAATCGATCAACATAATATATATTACACTAAATGTTAATTATCTACAAAATTAATTTTAAATTTTTAAATAAGTATTTCAATAGATTACAATAGTATTAGTAAATATTGATTAAATACAATACAAAGTAAAAGCGTAAATAGTTATTTACGGCTATAAGTATAAAAAAAGCAACAATTTAAATCCTATTTTAATACATTAATTGTACATTTAACTACATTTATAAGCATTTCCTAAGTACAACATTTTGATATAATGTGTGCATATAATTACACGGATTACATGGTTCTGCAATCAGTGCAATCTGAGCGGAAGATGGAAAATTGTATTTTATGTTCGCATTTTATGGACACGACAAGGCAATATGTTCAGAGGGAGTTAAGCATTTTTAATATACACATTCGTGTGGGGTGAAGTTTCACCCCCACAATTGCATTGTGGTACCATGTGATGGACATTGCTCTTGAGGATATATATTAAGTTGTAGGATTTATGTGTATAATACAAATTACTATATTTTTTAATAAAACCAAAACTACAAAGTTGAATTACAGTTGAGTTATTCGAATATTGTGATTTTAAATGTGATCCTATACCGACTTCAAATAAAATGACCTTAGTTGTCAAATCAATAGACACGCGAAGACGTTTTTATCAGGATGGATTCCATATTGTTCGTATATGTTATTTCCACAATCAATGACACCGGCCATTGGTGCTCGGGAGCGGAAATTATAACCCTCCCCAGAATATTTATTTATTTGTTAAATTAAAATAATAAATTGCTGAAAAATCAGCAATGTCATAATACTTTATTGAAATTTATTTTAAATTTTGAATGGAGCGATGTACCTATGTTTTGATCTTAAAATTATGTGTTTTTTGTCGTTGTCACTTTTTGGGACAGTAAAAATGCTTCGATTTTCTACTTCTGAGTCTTTTTTGGTAGAAAAGTTTAGTTAGTATTTCATCAAGGAGTCAAAAGTAAAAAATTCATTGTCACTTATTTAGTTTAATTTTAATTTTAAAAGCGAATCTACCTTTTGTTTGATGATGGCATGATAATATGTATTATGTTACAATATTATGTCTTGTGTTTTTTCGGAGAATTTTTTATAATATCTTAAATTATGGTAAGTTATGGATAATTTGAAATATTTATAGACATAAACTCATAATTCGTTAGAAAATAATGAAAATATTGTTTCTTTTAAATTTAATAATATCATATTGACCCTCATTTTAAAACTAACCTAATTAAATACAAACTTCTTAATGTAAATTTCATATGTTAGAGTTAACAAATAAGTGTGCTACGTTTTCTGAATATAAAAAATTAAATCAATTAATAATTAATAATTAATTATAAAACATAATAATTTTGTTTAATTTTTATTATTTAAAATAATAATTCTTTGAAGTTCTATCTATAATGTTCACTATTGTTGAAGAAATATTGGATGAAAAAAGGTATAGTTAATCTATTAAAGAATCTTAATTTAATTTTTACGAAAAATCTAAACTAACGATATAATATATTTTTTTTAAGACGCATTTACAATCAATACAATTTGCAGAATAAGTAAATTTGTAATAATATAATATAATAAAATAATATAATATAATAATAATAATATAATATTACTTGATGTCTTGAGGGAGGAAAACCGTCCATCAACAGTACCTTTTATTTAATTTTGTGGGTTTGATATTTAAATAATTATATTACTAGGTAGTAGACATAATATATGTGTATGTGGCGTTCAAACATTTGATGAGGTAGTTATTTATAAAGGTCTAATATTTACATTTGTATAGTTAAAGTTAATTGAAAACCAATCATAGATTATGAACATTATGAAATCTTATTTACACATGAGCATGTATACCTACATAGGTATGTTTATTGTTAAAATTATTATTTTACAGCTTATATATAATATAGGTAGTGTATAATAAATTATTAAATTATTATTAATAATTAATAATTATGCAATCTATATGATTTACACATGTAATAATATTATAAATAACGATGGAATAAATATTTTAAGTATTCGGTCGTTATTTATGATTATAAAGTATGTTTATTTACCATATTTATGGAATACCCCATTAAAGAGAAGTTATAATTTTCCAATTAATGTTTGATTACGTCAAAATTAAATTATAAGGTCATTATTACTCATTAAATTCTAAAAACTATATTCATTTATAGTAATGCACGACGTATACTGACATATTTTCCATCTTTTATCATTAATAAAACTCGTAAATTGTAATAATGCATAGGTACCTATATTTGGTATTTTATTTATGAACTTAAGATTTTATTGATGAATTTATAACTAATTGTATTACTTCTATCACAGAATTCTGCCATTCTAATAAGGTAATAATTCAAATAAAATATAGAACATCATCGCCTATATCCTATAAATTATAATATAAAAATAACTATAAGTGATTTTAAGAAGTTATAAATAAATTTTAAATTTAAAAAAAAAATCAGTAAGCCAAATCCCTTTATAAATTGTATTTATAAAAATAAAGCTAACCGAAAAAATTATTCAAATCATACAATCGATTAAAATTTGAAAAATGGCTTGGTGCATTAAAAGCTAAAGTAGTGAATCTTTTAAACTAATATTTTTTTTGATTTTAAATAAATTACCATAATATTTATGATAAAATAAATTATAGTTATAAAAAAAAAATAATAATAACTAGAGACAGATACTCGACAGTTCAAATTTATACACTGTAGTATATAAGGTGCAGATAATTTAATTGGGTATATAAGCCATTCGGTTTATAAACTAACATTGCATACTTTAAGATATTCACAATTCGAGTATTATATATATAATATATATATATATATTTTTTTTAAATAATATAAATCGAATACAATTTGTAAAATTATACGAATAGAATATGATTTACCTTTCGTCACTTGGTACATCGACGCAATTTTCCGTTCCTAATCCGCATACTGAGGCACAACTCTTAACCGAATAATGAGACTGAAAAAAAACAAGTTTATGTTACATTCATATGATTAAAAATCTTTTGGTTTTTTCTAGTTCAATTTTTGTATTCTTATTTTTACAAAAGAAAAAGAAAGTAGGTAATACAAACTAGAAATACTTTTAATGCATACTGTCTACAATATTATTTTATACATTTTTCATGATGGAAACAATAACGTGGTATTCTACCCAGCACCCGAGCAAGATAAAAAAGCAGTAAGTTCTGATATAATAATATTATTTTATTATAATTTAAAATGTACTACTGTAGGTACACAAATGACAAATGTACACATTTTTCATTAATGTGTTTTCCAATAGTATCAAATCTCAGCTAAAACGGTTTCGTAGAGGCTATTTACTATTTATTATATATACTAATATACTTACGTCAGAGAGGTACAGACTACAGAGCCCTCGAGAATTCGAGATAAAATCACTTAATTATCGTTATAATACCTATAATTTTTTTTTTTTTTTTTGAAAAAAATATGCATAGGAATAATTTTTATCTAAAAAAACTACMGTAACATTTCAATCAAAAATATTAATATTAAATAAACAGCAAAAATCACCTTCCAAATGGACTGGAGGTAGAGACATTGCATTAGTTGTGAAGGGTTAATATTAAAACGTGAGGTAATATTTTGAGAGTGAAAAAATATGCCATCAGTCAGTTTTTGACATGAAAGTGTATTGGGAAATTAAATTTATGGATTCAGTTTTTGTATTTGGTCAAATGGAGGAAACCATAACCACCTTATAAGTGTCAATTTGTATTTACAATGTAAGATAAAATGTATAGAATTGTTTTCATATTATAATTTACGATGCAGTGTCGGGTCTGTAAAAATGTTCTACTTATAGACACTTATTCAAACGAATGATAACTACACGTAGAATATTGTAATACTTCCAATTTGACTTGTGCAGTTACTTGCAATCCTACTTTATTTTAGAATAATTTAGTGTATTATTTACATTTGTATAATTGTATATAAGCAGGTGCAAAACATTATGTAAATTGGATGTATAATAGGAAAACAATATTGCGTTAAAGTTGTGCTCAAATTATGTATCAATAATTTTCAGATAAAGTTTCAAAAGTGTACGGTGCAAACAGTAAAGCTGCAGAGTTCATGCAACAAAGTTTTATCAAGGTGAGGCTCCTCGGGGAAAATGTCCCTTCACCTTTTCCATGACGCGGCTTTTTGCGGTGTAACACTTTGCATATACACATCGCAGGGACCTACAAATTACAATCGATACGTATATAAMCAAAATAGCAACAATTTATGTAAAACATTCAAATTTCTCTCTCTCTCACACACACACACACGAGGCTTTTGTCGGTCGAGCATGTCATATTATTATGACCGGCGGGACTGCTGCAAGTTATTAGGTACCTGCGCATATTGTACGCAGTACGTAGAAAACAATAGTTTCGTTTTAGTCTCTGAAACATTATTATTATTGTCGTTTTTGTTGTTGTTACGTGTGCGAAAACCCATCGCATTACTCGACATGCACGCCCGAGCGAATCAAAATACAAAAGTGCTCCGGCAAAACAACATCTGGAGCAGTTCTCTTGTCACGGTCTTGTATATATTCTCGACGTTTCGATTCGTCCGGACCGACGGAAATCGTAAGAGTGGTAAAAGGCGCCCGCTCACCCTTATATATATATATATACGTAAGGGTAGGAAAAAAAACCGTCTGCTTAATAAATATAATATATGTATATAGATTTAATGCTTTAGGCTGAACGGAAAAAGTTCGCGTCAATAATATTATATATATATTACATTATATTATAGCACCAACGCGGTCGTATATTTTATAATGGATAAAAATATTACTTTAGGGCAAGAATGTACTTTATAGAACTTAAAACCGAATAAAATAGATTTCAATATTGTGCAAGAGCGAACATTATTAAAACAAAATTCACTGTATCCAGTGTTGAGCAAAAACACTTTCATGATAAAAGTCTATAAAAGTTTCATCTTTAATTTTAAATTAATTAAAATAAAACGGAATTAACTATTTACCCTTGTTTTAAATTTTTAATCCTTAGCTATAAAATTTAAACGTTTTATAAATTTATAACATTTAAAGAATTCGTAAATTTTCAATTAAATAAATGTCAAAATTTGAACTTTGAATGGTTATAAAAAAAAAATAACTTGCCTATGTAGTTTTAATATTTTCCTACTGCTATTATATAAACTTATGGGGAACATAGTATTAAATGTTCAAGTTTATAACCCAATGAATGGAATTTTATCGACATTCGTAGAATAAAAAACTAAAAAGACGGAAATTTTCAAATGCCAATAAATAGCTTAAAAATTGTTGAAATATATTGAAAATGTTATCAATAAGAATTGATAAAATAAGATAATGGTGTAAATTTCAAGTTTCTACAGCAATTCGTTTTTGAATAACAACAAAATAAGAATATCGGTACTAGATGACAATTGAGTGAATATCCAATGTTGTAATTCAAATACTCATAAAAATTTTATTTGACTTTCCGGTAGGCATTTTTTAATTGATAAAAGTAGACAGACTCATGAAGAATCTTGCATTGAATTTTCAAACCTTAGATTTAAAAAGATACATTTTTATGAATTTTTAATTCAAAATAAATTGCAAATTATCGTGATTTTTACCTATTTTTTTTAAAATTCAAACTTTCTGTGTTTATTACAAAAAAAATTGTGACTATGTATTTTAAATATTTTTTAACTACCGATGTGRCAATATATTAGAAGACTTGTATTACATTTTGAAGCTTTTTTTCCCAACAAATAAAATTTAATGAATCATATATCACAAAAATAATTCTTAGTAGCTAACTCTTTTACTATAGAGGAAATGTTTTTTCATTGTTATTATARCTGAATTTAGTATCAGATTGATTCATTATTTTTAGTGCATGATATTCTCTTTCGTTCTATCGTTCTATGTAGTAGATAAATGTGTTGATTGATAAAGTTTTTATATCAGTTCTAACGTCGTTGTTGGTCTTGTCAACAACCTTACATTTTATATTTTTGACGTTAATGCTTAAGAAATGTCTMCTAAGTTCATTTTCAAAACTTCTCACAATGTGGCTTATATCTTTTTTTCAGAATCTGACAATGTATTATTATTTTCTTTTTTGTTCAGTACTGAGCTATGGTGAATCGTCTATCTATACGATATTTTGTCATATTATTATTTTAGAGACAGCGATTAAATTAGATTAATTTAAGTATTAAGATAATAGTTAAGTATAAAATATTATGATTTTTTTTGTCTCACAGAATGCAGTTGGTATCCTGTTTAATTTGTTCAATACGAATTTCTCGGTACAGCCAAAGCTACCGACCATTTTAAATAAATGGTTAAAAGTTTTGTATTGATACCAGATATCCGTATATGAAAAATAGCTCCGGAATAATGACAAAAATTCACCAAATAATATACTACTGAGGAATCAAAACTAAAATTGTTTTGTTTTTAAACTGCCATATTTAAAAATTGTTATTCCCTAGTAATAATTTCGTAAATTTATTAAAATGGTTTTTAGTTGAAAAATCAAATAATTTGTTATCAAAATAAGAAAATGTGTACCTAATATTATTATTTTATTGAATCTTTGTCTGATTTATCATATTATAATGGCCATGTAAACCCATATTATAATGTATTAAAAACATGTGATTAAACACCTTATTATAGTTATTACAATTCACTCATTAAACTTATTAGTAATAACAATGTTTTAGTTGATTGGAGAAGGACTRCCAGTACAATAAAATTAAAATATAATGATGATTTAATTATGTATTTACAATTTGTGCATATTATAATGGCTTAATGAGTAAATGTGATTTAGTAATAAACATATAGGTAAGGTATTGAAACATATTAGATTTAAAAAAAAATCTAATAGACAGTACATGATATACGCCTGCAGAGGAAATCGTCCACCCAAAATTTTCGATTGCTAGTTAGTATATTACCTATATGTATTAATTTTTTTTTATTTATTATATAAAAGCTGATCACGACACCATTTACATTTTAACCTTCTTGGGGATAGTCATCGGGAATTTTAAAAGTAGAGTCAGAGTGATATATGAAAAAATATTATTTATATATCTAACATGATAATAAACTGTATTAATTATAGGGACGAGCCGATACCACTTATACCGATATCCGATACACCGATATATGCTGCCGATACAAAACCGATTCCCGCTAATATACATAAAAAAATATTAAAACAACATTTTTGGCAAAAAAGCGAGAGAGCCGATACTACCATAAAACCGATACCACAAATATTATCTAAAAAAGTGAAAACATCGATTATTAATGGTAATCAATGATTATTTAATAGTTATCACATGTTTATTTTTAATATAAATGGTATTTAATAATTAGTAAACTCGTAAGTAGTAACACAAATATCTACTAACTATAGTTGTAATGCGGCACTGTGACTAGAAATAGTTTTGTTAATTGTTATCAATTGTATAACAATTTTGAATTTTAAAATAATACGTCTATATTGCTGTTAAATATTATTGTGATATTTATAATCTAACCTGTGCGTTTGTAAATTATTGTGATATACTATGCTGTTCGGTGGGCTTTTTCTTTTWTTTTCKTATCGGTTCTAGTATCGGTCCATCCTTAATTATTTATATTGTTAATTCAATGTGATAATAAGCATATAACACTACAGTCGAACGGTTTAGAGTTCCAAAACCGACAAATTGTTTAAGTCCTATGACCAGTTATTATACGTATAAATTACCTACACAGGATATATACTTCTATTTTCCAAAATATTCCTCTATTTACGATTACCTATCATTATCGTATCGCTCGTTCTATAGTGTTTCTCGGTGRTATGTTGGGTTTGGCTTTCGGCGACCGAGTATAGTCACTCACAAGTCGACAGTCGTACATTTATAACTTATGTGGTATATACGAAGCGGTCGGTGCGTCTGGCATTTGTGTTATTTTAAATTAAAAAAAAACAAAAAAAAAAATACAAATAAAAAATACACCCCTACAATGCTAATGCGCGCGGCATTGCAGCGCTTAGGGCGGAACTCGCACTCTCGCACAGTGTATGCACATATTGTTCATTTCGGTAGACGAGTGCGCGTAGTTTAATTTCTAGTTCACTGCACCGCATGCATGTGCATCGCAGAGACCGTCGATTGTTTTCTGTATGTCGAACGATGTGTTATTAAAATATAAATAATATGCGCGTCTGTCCTCTCTTTCAAATTAATATTGGCGTTTGTACTACTATACAGACGTCAGGGGCTATTATTGTCAATTGATAAATAAGATCCTCCTCGAAAATAATTAATTATTGAAAACAAAAAAACACTATATACATATATAGCGTATGTTAACACTTGATTATTGTAAAATTATCGCCAAATTGTATGATATTCTGATTGCAGTTATACACTGCAGATAGGCATAGGAGTATTATTACGGAAATTGAAACGGTATAATTAAATATAGTTTATATACAGAGTGTCCTCCCGYGAGCATTTACCCATGACGATATCTCACGAAATAATGGAGATATCATAATTCTGGTTTTATTATAAGATTTACAGGGATAAGAACTACAATTATTTCATTTTCAAATTTATTTTAATGTTTTTATAAAAAAATTTAAAAAAATATTTTTTTATTTAATTATTTCCAAAAAAATTAAAGATAGCCATTTTGTAGCGTTTATTTTTCTGAAAATATTGACGTTTCATATTTTGAATATTTCCATTAATTTCCTGAATTTTGATATTTTTTCTAGTTTTGATGAAATAAAATATGGTTATAAATTTATGACTATTAGGAACACGGAGAGTATTCGGCCGGCCGAATGGGAATGCGCGCGGCGCGGCGGGTCACATGTTTGATAACATTATGGTGTTAAATAATTCGTAATTTTTCTCGAAACTAAAAAAATATTAAAAATCAGGAAATTAATGAAAATAAAATTTTGAAACGTCAATATTTTCAGAAAAATAAACTCTACAAAATGGCTATCTTCAATTTTTTTGGAAATAATTAAATATAAAAATATATTTTTTAACTTTTTTACCAAAACATTAAAATATAAACAATAATTGTAGTTGTTATCCCTGTGAGTTTTATTACCAAACCAGAATTTCGATATCACCATTATTTTGAGAGATATCGCAATGAGTAAATCCTCATGGGACACCCTGTATATATTAATGTTTAACTGGACTGATGAATAAAACTACACAAAGTAAATACATCAATAATAATAATAAGTCGAATCAAACATACAAAACATCATATTGTGTGTTTCATAATAACATTTTATTTTAATTTAAAGGGATTCTTCGGTTTTTACTATAATATATTTACCATTCCCCCAACATCACCACTAGATTAAAATAGGTATGCGTTTAATAATTTAATTATTGTTCTTATTATTCCATTATTATTTGATATTAAAGTAATTATTATAATATTATATTTCTTGCGTTGAACATTTATATAACACCACAATTGAAAACTGTAATTTCGTTTATATAATATTATAGTTACAGCAACCTATTGAAAGAACAATGCACGCTAACCCACCAAAAAGGAGGGACACATAAAAATCCTGATTTAAATTCCTATCATGTGTATAAAAATTGATTAAACTGTAGTAAAATGAAACTACAGTGTTATAAATAATAATTCAATTCGAATAGTAATGAAAAACGTTGCATTGATTTATTTCTTTCCTAAAATCATTCGAATGGTGCCTTTGAAAATCAATAAGCGCATCATAAACATGTGTTGTAAATTTCAGTCAATTAAAAATTGAACGTGTGTGTTTAACATTCCCAGCAAAACGACTAAGTATTTTAGGAAAAGTTCTTGAACGACACAAATGTTTTGTTGAACTTGGGATCTTAGATTTTCGAATGTATTAGGTACCATTTAATTTTAGAGCGGGCCGCATTCAATTTGTTAAAGGGCCGCATATGGCGCGCGGGCCACTTATAATATAGTGAGGACCGCTGATTTACAGTTTGGGCACACGAAAAGAGTGGACGATTTATTGACAACGAGCAGCGTGTCACTTCCGCGCAATTTTCAGAATGTCGTATTTGGTATAGTAAAATAATAAACTTACAGAGCACACGTTACAATGTACATTATATAATATATTGTACATATTATGTATACACGTCGTAATCTAATCCTCTCGTTTGCCTGCCGCACGTCATGCGTCAAACCGAAACTGAAACTGTCGGCTCGCGTCAGCAGTGTAAACGGGCTCAACCGTATCTGTTCCGTCAATGTCGAAAAACGACTTACCCCTCCCCTGCCCGATACGTTTTTGAAAACCGTAACCCGCGACACGAGCGACAGACAGCAGCTGTCCGAAAAACGTTTAAACAAACGCTGTACGG